GGGACACCAGAAATGGGCTTCACACATTGTACCCATGTGGGGATTCGAACACGGGTCTTCGGCGTGACGAGCCAACGCTTTAACCACTAGGCTACCCCACCGCCCCTGTTTTGACTGAGGTTAAGGTGATGTGTAGACTGGGGTTGAGGTGATGATGTGAAGACTGGGGTTGAGGTGATGATGTGTAGACTGGGGTTGAGGTGATGATGTGAAGACTGAGGTTAAGGTGATGTGTAGGCTGGGGTTGGTGATGATGTTTTGACTGAGGTTAAGGTGATGTGTAGACTGGGGTTGAGGTGATGATGTGAAGACTGAGGTTAAGGTGATGTGTAGGCTGGGGTTGGTGATGGTGTTTTGACTGAGGTTAAGGTGATGTGTAGGCTGAAAATGGCGATGGTGTGAAGACTAGGGTTGAGGTGATGATGGAAACTGCACTGGAACAGTTCACAGTTAACGCAATGTGTTGCATGATACGCCACTAGTGCTGCCATATGATATGCTGTACATGGACCTCTAGTCGACAGCATCAAGCGTTCACAACACTGAGGCTCTTTGAAGGGCGGAAACCAGACATATATTTTATGTTTAGAGGTGAAACTCAAGTGGTTGGTCTCAGGCATGTAGTGTCCTTGAATGGGGTTACATTTGAAGTTTTGACGGGATGGGAGTTCTAATCTTCATAAACAACCATGGTATGAAGAGATCAAATGTGTGTCTACAATAAACATATGACATTGTTGTGATCTGATATATGGTCAACAAATTTGGGTACGTAAGAACTGACTTCGGTTATGTTGTGTTTGTTGGGGTATCAACGTAAAGACTGCTGTGGACACTTTGTAAATCTGCGGGTTAGGACCAGTAAGTAATTATGCATCTGACAGCTGCCCGTGTACACGGAGGTTTAGGTGTAAATGACGTTGTATGACATTGTCTGGTGTGCAAATGACGTTGTATGACATTGTCTGGTGTGTAAATGATGATGTGTGACATTGTCTGGTGTGTAAATGATGTTGTGTGACATTGCCTGATGTGTAAATGACGTTGTGTGACATTGTCTGGTGTGTAAATGATATTGTGACATTGTCTGGTGTGTAAATGACGTTGTGTGACATTGTCTGGCGCGTAAATGATGTTGTGTGACATTGCCTGATGTGTAAATGACGTTGTGTGGCATTGTCTGGTGTGTAAATGATATTGTGTGACAGTGTCTGGTGTGTAAATGACGTTGTGTGACATTGTCTGATGTGTAAATGACGTTGTGTGGCATTGTCAGATGTGTAAATGACGTTGTGTGACATTGTGAGATGTGTAAATGACGTTGTGTGGCATTGTCAGATGTGTAAATGACGTTGTGTGACATTGTGAGATGTGTAAATGACGTTGTGTGGCATTGTCAGATGTGTAAATGACGTTGTGTGACAGTGTCTGGTGAGTAAATGATAGTGTGTGACATTGTCTGGTGTGTAAATGACGTTGTGTGACATTGTTTAGTGTGTAAATGATATTGTGTGACAATGTCAGATGTGTAAATGACGATATTGTGTGGTTTGTAAATGACGTTGTGTGGCATTGGTGTGTAAATGACGTTGTGTGACATTGTTTAGTGTGTAAATGATATTGTGTGACAATGTCAGATGTGTAAATGACGTTGTGTGGATATTTCTGGTTTGTAAATGATATTGTGTGACATTGTCTGGTGTGTAAATGACGTTGTGTGACATTGTCTGGTGTGTAAATGACGTTGTGTGACATTGTCTGATGTGTAAATGACGTTGTGTGACATTGTCAGATTTATAAATGACGTTGGGTGACATTGCCTGGTGTGTAAATGATGTTGTGTGACACTGTCTGGTGTGTAAATGACGTTGTGTGACATTGTCTGGTGTGTAAATGATGTGGTGTGACATTGTCTGGTGTGTAAATGATGTTGTGTGACACTGTCTAGTGTGTAAATGACGTTGTGTGACATTGTGAGATGTGTAAATGACGTTGTGTGGCATTGTCAGATGTGTAAATGACGTTGTGTGACGTTGTGTGACATTGTCTGGTGTGTAAATGACGTGGTGTGGCATTGTCTGGTGTGTAAATGACGTTGTGTGACATTGTCTGGTATGTAAATGACGTTGTGTGACATAGTCTGGTGCGTAAATGACGTTGTGTGACATTGTGAGATGTGTAAATGACGTTGTGTGACATTGTCTTGTGTGTAAATGACGTTGTGTGACATTTTCAGACATGTACGTAGCGTTGTGACGTAATGCCTGGCGTTTGTAGCGTTATGTGACTGCCATACATGTATGTTCTTAGCGTTATGTGGCACTGTCAGACATGTACGTAGCGTTGTGACCCATTGTCTCGCTTGTGCAGTGTCGGGTGACATTGTCTGATATTTATATAGCGTTTTGTGAGATTGTCAGACATATACGTAGCGTTGTGACCCATTGTCTGACGCGTGTAGCGTTGTGAGACATTGTTTGGTATGAATGTATTATTGAGTGACATTGTCAGATATGTCTGTGACATTGTCAGATACATGGGTAGCATTGTCAAATATGTATGTTACGTCGTCTGATTTTGTCAGATATGTGTATAGCATTTTGTGACATTATCAAATGTGTGTTACATTGTGTGACATTGTCATATACGTGGGCAGCATTGTCAAATATGTATGAAATATTGTGTGATTTTTGTGAGATATGTGTGTAGTGTATTGTCCGATATGTAAATAACGTTGTGTGACATTGTCCGATACGTGTGTAGCATTGTGTGACATTATAGCAGGCATTCAGAGCTGTGTTTCATTGTCTAATATATATTTGTACCGTTCTTTGAGATGTGAACAGTCGCCGAGCGGCTGACCACGGTCCGTCGACATCCCGCCCACTGGATCTAGAATCATAGCCTGCTGGCATTTGGAGGAGTTCCACCCACATCTGCGACAGTGTCAAAGACACATACACCTTTATGGAATGAAACCCGAGCCCCTGCCATATTAATTTTATTTTATAAAACTAAAAATGCTGTAATGTCGAGTCTGTATTAATTAATGACTAAATGGCACGAATTAATAACACCTATTTTATTTGAATGCAAATGAAACTCGATTTACATGTGATATATATGTTACAGTGTCATCATCTAAAACCTGCTTGTTTTTGAAGTACAACGATATTTTTGTGAATAAGTGCACAAGTGTATGCTTGCTATTTTCGTCGACCTGTCTCAATCAACACTGGGTCTGACCTCATTTCCAAACTTCAGCGAATGCTCTATTCAAAGTTATATCAACCTACCTCGTTCTTTGGCGAGCTTTAAACATTTTATAATTACGTGACTTATAAATGCCAAAACGTACCACTTGCAGCAAAATGCAGTAGAGATTATTGTGCTCTTTAAACACATAAGCGGTCGAGCTGTACATAACGGTATGAGGCGCGTTAGGCGTATGAATCATCACTGCAACCGCGTCTTCCTGCATTGGTACGACTGTGCTGTTGTGACCGGCGCTTACTGCGATGGGCGACGCAGTCGGAGCTCGGCCTAAATCGATTTGCTAGTCAACAAGCAGCCTCCAGTCGGCAATCGCTGCTTCGTATGAGCTCACTTGTGACACTATCTGACGCTGAGGTTTTGAAAATAACTTTGCAGCCAAACAGTGATCATTTCTGTGCAAAGAAATGCAGAACTATTCTATATTACAGAAATGCAAATAATGGACGTTAGGTAGTTCAAACAATATATTTCATAGTTTTAAAGAAAACCAAATATCTCTCATTACGAAACGTGTTCTTTTTTTCTCTGAAAGTATGAGTATTATAATGACAAAGGGTCTGGCGGACAAGATGTATTTATTATGTCTGGATTACGTTTTGTCGCTGAAAATAAATATTTTCAACAAAACGTGTTAACGCTTAGGTCAAAAGAAAATACGCACGCACGCAAGTCTTTTTTGACTGTACGCCAGTTGTTTAACATTTCGGCAAACAAACATGTTTGTGTAATGAAGCCAATGTATCACCAACTTCGTCATATTTATCATCCGGTCTTCTTCTCGTACCTTTCATTCACCTTTACGTCGAACAAAATCTTTAAATGTCAAATAACGTATTTTGTACACACAATGCAGTTTACATGGTGTCATTTGGAAATCCCACAGAGCTTCTATATACAAATGTAGTGACAAAATTAGAAACGCAAATAACGAGCTGCTGTACCACAAACGTCACAACGTTCACAAGAAACCAGCGTGTTATGGTTTACTGTGGTGCTGCATCAGACTACGAAACATTGTCGAAATAATATCCCGAAGTCTCCAATTGTCTACTGTCTCCGAGAGTTCTACTCTTGATATTCTTTCTCGTCACAAGTTGTCGACAGAGTTGTATATCGTACATAAAGGTAGACATAGGCTTTCTCCGGTACAATTGTCAGTGCTACATATACACATATAGATGGTAGAATAATGAAAGATCGCCTCGAATTCACACATATACTATCAACGTTTATAATCTGAAACGTCAAACAGTTGGATTAATTTTTTAAATTATCTCTCATCCTAATTTGCAAAAGTCGAGATAAATAACTGTTTTGATCATACTGACTCGTGTCGTGATGCTAATGTATAACACGATATTGTTATTTTGTGTACGGTTGTAGGTAAACAGAACTAATGAAGTTCTCTGCGTGTTTATTAACTTCAAAGTAAATCACGTTGCATGCCTATCCCACTGAAAAATAACAACCCCATTTGCTTGCCGCCTCGAACAAGGACAGGTTGTTTGTCAGAGCTGTTTGCGACCCGGCTCTTGGAAACAGCTTCCGGTTATACGGGCTTACGAAAGATGCGCCTTGTCGTTGATTGAAATTGTAATTAATAGAATGTTAACATTTCTTCACAAACTTTATGCCATAATTATTTACATATTTAACTCTTACATTTGAGTATCATATATGTGTAGGTTATGTGATTTGGTTTTCTAGCCAATCGCATCAAAGCCGCCTCGTACGAAGGGTTTGACGTCAGCTGCACTTGGAGCTTGACCATGTTCGGGGAAAACCTGTCGACTGACGCGGAAGATTTCACTTTGTGTCTCACGCCAGGAAAGTATGGAGATGATGTTAGAAGGGAGCTGACGATTATTTCTCGGAACATTCTTACTCTTATTCAGTCCAGCTTGGAGTGAAAGTTTGAACCTTCAAACTTTCTCCACTCGAAAGTCGTCGAGGTGAGTTGACCCAACAGTTGAAACAACGCACCCAGTACTATTTAGGTCAACCATGTCAGATATGTTTCGCGTTTTATTTGCAATCGCGGTACTTGTTTCACTTCCTTGCGTCATAGTGATGTTTAACTATACTTATTGTGACCACTTTCATTGACTTGTTACGCAGGGTTGACCACTGAAGGTTTGTTTCTCTTGTGTTTACGAAACTCATTTGAATGTGGCTTCTCGCCATTTTCTAATCACCACACACTGACCGGGCGAGCTCGGTTGACCCGGGTCACTGAGAATTCGGCGATTATCATCCCTTGTTGCGCTTACATATTAATACTACTAAGTGGAATAACATTTCCCGCTTACTTTATTGCTTCTCCCTTCTCTCTACAGTCAATGTTAATGGAGAGCTTTTTAAGCGTTTGCCAAGTCAAGTTTTCTCGATATAGCCGAGCACGGCTTGTCTGATTCATACGGCGCGCCAGTTGGGCCGAGGGACTTGATGCATGAGTGAATCAGTGCGAATAGAACGTCGATGTAAAGGAAGTCTGTAGCATAATACCGTTATTCGTGTTGCTCAACATTATCATTTAGATGTAGTTTTCCCACCCGACTTCCTTGTTGTAGTATAGTTTGCGTGTTGTGGTCCACACTTGGATCTTTTTCTAGACAAACCTGTGTTTTCAGTCGCTGTCTGAAGCCATGACAAGAGGCCTACTCTCACCGCTCGCCACTTGTCAAGTTCGTGCCCCGGTCTTGACACCATGGACGGTCCCCGGGTATAACCAGGGACCTAAACTCAAACTCCTAGTCCTCTACAACTGTGATACTTTGGTAAATTAGATCAAACAAAATAATTCTTTTAAACTAATTAAACTTTTACCAACAATAGAAAATATCACGATCAAAGCCTTATGTTATTCTCTCATGATCTAAAATTTAACCTTTTTAGAATGATTTGAATGATATTTTTAAACACCACCATAAATGTTATTTTATGCTCATTATAAGGTAATATTTAAATTAGTTGGTGAAATATGTTTTGTAGCTAGAGCGGTGGAATTGTACACCAAGGTTGAGATTTAGGTGATCTCCCTTAATGTTTCAAATTTAAGAAAATACAGTTGAAATTTAAAAAAAATAATTGTACCAGGCTCTGAATCTTTTTGACTTAGAATTTGAGTAACTCCAACACAACTAAGTAAGTGGGTGTAATGAATTTGTTTCCTATTACTGATTCATGTCACTTTGGCTTGTGTCACGCACAAGGAAGTATGACTTACAGAGACCATCATAGTTCTCTCTACATCATTTGAATCATGATGAAGATCAATTGTCATTTCATTATGTTGATGGTATTTTCTAAGATATTGGATCGATAAAATGTCAAGCTTCCATTCTTTCAAAATTAAGCACATTTAATAGTAAATTGTTAACGCCACTTCGACAGGATTAGTACTGATTTTCTTCATTGTATATTATTTGAAAAGTAATGTTAATGATTTCTCTTTTACAGTGAAAAAATGCCACCAAATGTTGTGACCACCATGAAGAGAAAACTAGATGAATTCATCGATGATGAAGGAAGCTACGGATCCCAGCGCCAGTCTGTCCTCAACATATCCATGTGCAAGCTGAAAATGGTTCCCAGAAGGCGTGTGGAACCATGTCTTCGGCGCAGTGTCCTCATCTTAAATACATTGAAACACATCGAAACTGAGTTAGAGATGGAGGGTGTATATTTCACCTCTCCTGCTGACGCCACCTTTAATCTCACCGATCCTTCGCATGGCAAGATTGATCTTGATCCTCTGCCTGAATGCAACTCAAACACTTCTTTTCTACAGCCATCATCTGTATCATTTTTGCCTCATGTTGCCACCGAAGGTCCACCCTCACCTATGCCAAAACCAGTTCAAGATGTAGAAAATATGGACACTAGTGCTAAGGACACATCAGGGAAAACTGTGTTAGACTTGGTGCCTTGTAAACTGGCAACAGCCGAAGTGTTGCCATGCACACCTGTGTCAAAACTGTCAGCTTCCAGAAGTTATATAGAAGATGCAAATAATAATCTGTTGCCATCATCATTTGCCAGTTTTGCATCCAACTCGTCTGCCTCATGGAGTGAAGACTTTAGTGATATAGACATAAGTGTGTGTGATGTCGATATCTACTCAATTTCATCTGCTATGAAACTTACGCCACTCAGTGCTGAGGAGGTGCTTCATTCCTTTCCAAATACTTCAGGACATGCCAATGACAGTTACCCATCTTTCATAAACTCACAATGTGGCACTTCATTTAGAAATGAATCAGTGATGGACGATTTAGATAATATCATGCAGATTCTTGTCGGAATGTGATCGTCATGGTGTATGTTATATATGTACAAGTCACAGCATAACACAAAGACTTACAAGATACATGATATTTTTACATATTTTTACAGGGAGACTGTACTGACATGTGTCAGGTTAATTTATTGTGAACTTCTGTTTTGCCTGTGGTCATATGATGACTGATCATAGTAATGTACATTTGGGTTATTTATTGACAACTATCATGCTTTGATGCAAAGATATTGTAATAATAGCCACAAGACTTTTCAAAGCACATCATTGGCCGTGTTATCAATAATGTGCATTGGCCAGGAGACATCCAATTTGAGAAGGCGCCAGTTTTGCTCATATCAATGGTTGTGATGGTCTCCATATTGAACCATGTGCAATCTTCCAGGCTTCATTAGTGTCAAAAACTTTTGATATGATTTTTATCAACAGTGGCCATATATTTTTGAGCATGGAAGTATAAAAACTTGAATTATGCAATGCATGAATTTTGTAATGTTAAAGGGAGATAATCGGGACATTGGATTAGTTTCCTGGATGGAATGAACTGACTTTGAACCAGTTATGCATGGCAGTGGATGAAATGCAATTCACCAAATGGTGCTTATTGTTACTAACTATCACATCATCAAAAAGAACAACTTAGTGCACAGGAGGAAAAATCTGGAAAGAAATACTGAATACATTTTAGTGTGTACCAGTTACCATGGAAACTGACATTTTGTATTTTCTATATGGTACAAAGATATTGCAGTATGCCACACTTTCTAGTGCTGATAAACTGAACAGAACTTTTGAAAGAATCAGTTTAATGGCATAATCAAGGTTATTGTGCCCAAGGATCAGCTATTGCTGATATCAACAAACTGTCACATTTCAGTATAGTGCACTTTTTTCCTCTTGTCAAATTGATAAGAGTTGTTATTGATGAGTAAATCATCATGCTGAAATGCAAAGGTATTTTGAGGATCTTTGAAATTGATAGCTATACTTTAATGTTTGATATTCACATCCATACTGCATTAATTGTGATATATCGGTTATAGGTGTTTCAGCATGCATTACTCATGCCACTGCATTGTTTCAGAACATGATGCAAATCCCATAAGTTCACTCTGGTTTTAAGTTAATCATTAGAATTATTACCTTAGTCTCAGAGCAACAGTAGTGATGCCAAACAAATATGCTATGTGGACAGATCTAGTCAAATGTGTCTTTTTGGCACGCATTTCACAATTTTGAAAATATTTTCAAAGACTTATTTATATCCCTAGCATGTGTTTCATGTAAATGATTGTTAGATAAGACAGTCAAATTGCAACCTAGCAAAGAAATCAGAACTTAAAATTCATTAGCATATTCATTTTTGATTTTTAACATTGATGCAAAAAGGGCAAGTTCTCAAATTTTTATTGGAAATCACTTATTTATTGACTATATCTGAGTATCAATCAGTGTGATTTCCAAGAGAAATATTTTTTTTATAGGACTTTGTGCCAGGTTTGCATTCTGCCTTAACATTGGTAGTAACCATAGAAACTGAATGTTGCCCAAGCAGAATATGATTCTTTTCCTCTGGCATGTCAACCTGTTAACTCTAGGCTAGAAATGAAGGGTCGGTCTGACCTGGACTTTAGTTCTCAATGATTAGCATACGAGCATCAACAGTTCATTTTTCATCAAATATTTTACCAATCTGTATTTTATTTATGATTATTATATTCATATTCATTTATTACTCTGCCATTTTTCCATCCTGAAGAGATTAGTCATTTTTGAGTAGGAACATACTGTCTTCAGATTTCTACATAACCATTCTGTTGCTGTAATTCCTTTATTATGACTGCTGTCAACTCTTCACATCATCGGCCAAGGATTATATGATGATGGTGTTTGAATTTTTCATAAATCTGAAATTGAGTTTGTTGGAACCAGTATTTGAAGGTCTGAAAAAGCCGAAAAAGTGTATGTTTTATGAGTAATACTTGTCAGACGGATTCTTCCTTTTGATGAAAAGTTAAGAATAATTTTACCTTTGTTAAAAGAGTGACTTTCGGGAAATGGGTCCATGCAGTGTCAGACATGATAATACTGGTGAAACTCAGGCTTCCATAGATTCAGCTGAGGCAATGTCACTTGTTTTTTCATGCACTATAAAGAGTTTATTGCAAACAATACTTATATCCCAAGGATTTTTTAAAAGAGAAATTAAAAGTTTCTTTCATAGCAATAAGTCGAGGAATGTTTGTTCCATTGACATGTTACCTGAAGTCCTTGGGAAGTTCTACTTAGAGAAATAGCAAATACAGCTGTTACCATGGTTTCACTGTGTTAATATTGTTAATGTTGACATTTTGCAGTCATTACGGCTTCACATTGAACTATCTCATAATACCAGCTAACTGTTTTATATTGGCAGCAGAAATGATTTGAGCTCAAGATCTCAGTGGCAAAGTAGAGATTTTAGTATTGATACATTTGTGTGATACATAATAATTTATGTATTGCTTCACAAAATGGAAATTAATATATTTGTGAAATGACTTTCTCGCCACATCTGTGATATATACTTGTATGTACATTTTCATAGCTTGTGCAGGAAGTTGTAATTTAAAAACAGTTGCCTATTTTGCTTGTAAACTCTGTATCTTGCCAAGATCACTCATGATTTTTATTTCTGTTGTGATCTTTTTACAGGTATATCATATTTATTTGAAGAACTATCAGTTTGAGAATATCATGTTATATTTATTGTCAGCACTAACAGAATTTATTTATTCACTTCAAAATACTAAACGTGGCTCGGGGCACAAAACGACCAGTATTCCAAATGTTTTTGTATGTTTTACCGTCCGCCGAGGTAAATAAAACAAGTCAGAATATCTGCAGAAGGTAACGTCAAATATTTATGTGGAAAATTGTCTTCAAACGGCAGCAAACTTTGTTGGTAAAAAGCTACACCAGTTATGTTCGTACTATAACGTTATGACAAATAAGTGTTGTATGTGCTTGGAATCATCGGCGAAATTATTTTCCACGCCAGGAAGATATCTCGGCGCTGGTACATTATGTTTTGACCCGGTTAGACGCAAGCTTGGCCGTCCCGATCACGGGAGGCGGGGCTAGGTCGCGTCGATCACGCTCAGCCTTCGTGACTTCGTCGTCATAGTTACTGGTACATAAACTGCCCGGGATGGCTGGAAAATGGGTCGATGTTTGCCGAGTGTAGGCCAAGGCTAGGGTTGGCTCAACTTATTGGTCGCCTCCGCTGTTGGGGCCTCTAGATTGAGCGCGCTGTAGCAAGACTCAGAAGATTTTGTTGAAATTAATTTTTAAGATCCCCTTTGATAATTTTGCTTTCGTTTGCTATCGAGATAGATGTGTCGATGTCAGACATTTACGTTGGTTAAAATTATGTTTATTTCGTTGTAATTTGAAAACGTTCACGGAAACTCAAAACGTCGTTTTCTGTTTGTCAAAAGTTGGTTTTCTGTTGATAAAAGGAGAGATAGTCTGTGTATATATTGCGTTGATTTCCAACTGTTCTCAAGGACATGGAAAATTGTTTTGTACAGACAGTGAAGGAAGATACTTCACATGTTTTATGTTATTTATTACATGTTCATATGTTTATCATGGAAAACAAAGAATATTACCATACGTTGTTTTCACTTTTAATTCATAGTAGAGCATAGTATTATCCGAAATCCAAACGTTATATTTTAATACTGAATCATGTGTAAATATTCAACAATTATTTTATCAGTAGTTCTCAAGTCTTTCTACTCTTTGAATATATCTATCTTTGTAGAAGAAAGACATTTTCAAAATAAATTCAGATGTCAATAAGTACCGATGTGTTGTATTCTCTCTATAGCTTTCAGTCTTCCTACCTCTCGTCTTCCAGTTTGTGAAAATGTTAGCGTGAACGGACTCGTGTCAGATGCATAACACGTTGTGTTGAAATGCTGACTTTGTTGTATTCACCAACTACACTGACGTGATGTACACGTGCTCGCGGTGGGTACAACGGCCATCACTTGTGTGCTTTGTTCATAGCTGCAAATCTTTTTTCTGCTTGACATGACTCCTAACTTGTATCACAAATCAACCATTGTTGCAACTACGGGCACGAGGAAAACTGGAGATGGTACCGACACGGTTGATAAAAAAATCACATGCAACATAAACGGGAGTAACTATTCATACTGAATTGTAATAAACGCATACCCCGCGTATTCACCCAAGTTGTAAGCACAGGGGCGTGTCACGCTTAGAAACAGCGTTAGAAAGACATATAGGTATATAGACCCTACCCTAGTACTATATAAAAGGATCCTTTTATATAGTACTAGGGTAGGGTCTATATACCTATATGTCTTTCTAACGCTGTTTCTAAGCGTGACGGGGGCGGTGGGGTAGTCTAGTGGTTAAAGCGTTGGCTCGTCACGCCGAAGACCCGGGTTCGAATCCCCACATGGGTACAATGAGTGAAGCCCATTTCTGGTGTCCCCCGCCGTGATATTGTTGGAATATTGCTAAAAGCGGCGTAAAACCAAACTCAGTCAGTCTAAGCGTGACACGCCCCTGTGGTTGTAAGGTCTTACGACGTACGTTCGCCAGTCACAACATACGTTCTTTGATATGCTTTTAAAAGATATGTAATCAAAAGGTATGTGTTTTAAACGAGAGTCAAGGACGAGGTGTGAATTTCCAACGAGTGCATCACCAAAGATTCACGAGTGAAATTAAAGTTAAATCCCGAGTGACAATTTCGCTCATATCGTGTTCCACATAAGATATTCTATTTATTTTTCATTAGTGACCTCATTCATTTTGTTTGGTTCACATATCATTCATCAATCGGCATCCACCATCTCTATAGCACCTCACTGAAGTCTGATGAAGTGGGGCATCACTTGGTTACAGTGCTACTGAATCATTGTCAACGTCTACAGTAAATGTATCTTGTAAGTGTGGAGGCAGCTTGCTGCTTAAATCTGAACAAGTAACGTCTGTCAAAAGTGCACCCAAAACGTTTATGGACACTTGAAATAATATTTGAAGGGTCTCATTGTAAGTAATGCTATGCTTGTGGGACAAGGGATTCAATACAGAAAGAAAATTACTGAACGAGTTAACTTTTATCTATAAAAAATTATTTCAGCATTTGTTTTGTCCTGCAAGAACATGCAATTTCAGTACTTGTAGAAATCTATCCAAAACTTCAAATTCCATTGATCCGAACAATTTTTATCATGGATAGATATATTTTCAGTCTAAAATATCTGCTCAAAATCAAAATGCCCTTGTCAAACATGAATCTTTATCTGGACTGTTTGAGACCAGACAAATTGATCATGTTATAGTCAGATTGGGCCGACATTTTTTATATACAGCGTCCGGACTTAACTGTGGCACAGAGTGAAAATATGGAACTTCCTTGTTCACTTTCCAATTCTGTATCCAAGCGACTAAATGTATCGGATGATTCGTCAACTCTCGGCTATATCCGTAAACTTCAAGAAAACACGCACCCATATCCATAAATATCGTGCGAAAATACGACAGACCAATCTGAATGTGTGTGGAGGGGAATGTCAGCTGGGTTAATTGAGACGACTGAACTGACTGAATCTTGTACATGACGCCCTATGAATGTTCTTCAGTAACCCATGCCTGTCATAAGAGGCGACTAACGGAATCGGGTGGTCAGGCTCGCTGACTTGGTTGACACAATCATCGTATCTCAATTGCGTAGATCGATGCTCATGCTGTTGATCACTGGATTGTCTGGTCCAGACTCGATTATTTACAGACCGCCGCCATATAGCTGGAATATTGCTGAGTGACAACTATAAAATTGTTGGGAATAGGCCCGCATGTAGACTCGGACATATCAAAGCCAACCTGAGCTAATGGTGAGCTTGACAATGTACAAAGAGGATACTAAACGTCCTTCCGTGTAATACCATTTTTATTAAACGAGTTAATGATTTGGTATCAATACTAAATCTTTCACGAGTTTAATAAAAAAGGTATTTCACTGAAGCGAGTTTAGTATTCTGTTTATTACTCTCCGACATAAATTGATAGAAACTTTACTCGCTCGTGGAAGATACTGCATTGTAATATTTTTACGGCAATATTACACTAGTGTAATACCGCTAGACGTATGACGTCATAATGTTTTACAGCTATGACGTCACAATGCTAATACTTCTGTCACAATAGAATTATACCTTGCTTGACTCGCGGAAAGCTGAGCGTCATCACACTGTAGGCAGTTTCTATCAATTTATGTTGGAGAGTAATAAACAGAATACTAAACTCGCTTCAGTGAAATACCATTTTCACTCGGAAGGTGGTTTAGTATTCTCTAAAGATGACATGGCTATAGAAGCTCATATTGCTCTGTTATCAGAACCCTCGGACATAACGTCTGTCGGCATGGAGTGCACAGAACAAGACTGACGTCGCTTTCATTATGACGTCATTAGGTTGGTCACATGACTACACTGACGTCGCGCGACTTTTAGTGACGTAATCCATTGTTCATGACGTATTTCTAGGTCAGTGTCACGTTGACCTTTCTTCAAGCTCCGGCGCAGTGGTGACTTGACATTACCAGGCTTACCGCAAGGATGCCTGGTAGGAGAGGGACCTTTTTGGTGTACTTTGTCTTTTGTCTGCAAAACAACAAAGGTCATCTTTTGATTAGAAGTCTCTCCATTGTAGCTGCGATAACTGGCTGATGTGTCTGATGCGCACATAATTTACAGGAAAAACGGTTCCTAAATTATTAGAGTTAGAGAATTTCTTCATTTTCAGAAACTATGGTAAACTAGACTTGACACATATTCTAGACCTGCATGGCCAGTGTTGGGTATATTTGTCTCAGGGTCTGTATGGCAGACTTCTGTGATGACGGGAACACTACTTTTTTTCAGGGCATTATCAATTACAGAAGTCTTCGTTCGACTCGGCCTCCTTGGGCAGGTAGTTGATATCAGACCGCGGGCTTTAACTTCTCAAAATAGTAATGCCCCGACACATAGTGTTACCATTATAGTAGAGACCAAGACTGGAGCATATTTACAGGTCTGTAAAATCTATTTTAGGTTTCGCCATTTCTATTTGATACTTTTACGTGTAGCTGAAATATTAGCAAATATTCCTTATAAAAGAGAATTTTATTCTGTGTGAAATTTATATAGCTTGAAGAACAGAAATACGTGAACGATATTTGAATGATTGAATATCATTTAGTGCGGTTTATGAAGAGACCCGCCATCCTCTCCCAAACAATTCGGTTTTGGTTCTTGTGTAACGCCGTAGCTTTATGACGTCGGTCTGTAACTAGTCAAATCTGGACCAGATAGGCCAGTGATTGACATCGTCAACATCGATCTACGCAGTAGGATTACCAGCACATGCATCAAACAAGTCAGCGAGCGTGACCACCCAATCCCTTTAGCTGCCTATTACGACAAGTATGGGTTACCGAAGACGAATTCTAAGTCTTTTGATTACTTTATTTGAATCAGTGAACATGAATGTTTTTCTTTTGGTATTTTGTCAACTTCAGCTTTTTGTTCCAATTTTCCATACCTGTCCCTAAGTGATTATTGACCGACAAGATGGATTATTATTGTTTTCCCTTGTCAAATTGTGTTCTTCGTACAAAGTACGCATGTTATCTAAATTCTCACCTTCACGACTGCCATTTAAATCTGCAACACTGCTTGCATTATGTACACATACTCTAACCAATAATGGTTGTCACCCCCTTCAATTTTTTTAATTGGAGAGGGTGTGTGGGGTGAGGTGTGTGTGGGGTTGGGGTGGGAGGGGGTGACAACCACTATTGGCATGAGTATATATTTACTATTCTTCTTTGCAACATGCACGAGACGATGGAACCATAGGAGTTGCATTTTCAAACGCGATTTTTAAATCTTTAAACGTAAAATTGAAAGATGAATTGTTACGCCGACAAAACGACAAGTTAATCTTGTGAGTCGTATGAATCATTTTTCTATTATTATTTTTTTTTTGTGAAAGAGGATATCGTTTTACATCGACACGTACATATATATATATATATGTAATGCAACAAAAACCACCCAACGGATACAATTCAATCAGTTGTCATTGTTGTTTAGTTTAGTCATATGGCGACGTTTAACAACAAAAACAAGCATCCCTTTCCCCGTAAACTGTACTGTTGTCACTGAATGCATAGTAGCCCTTCCCACATTTGTCAGTTTCAGAATACCAAAGCCCTTTGATCTATCAAATATCCTTCACAGGAACTTCATAAACATTTCCGTTTCGTGATCACAACGCTGCTATATTTAAACACATATCATTCTGTACACACGCTCAATGGACAATAAACGGCCACAACGCTCTCTAAGAATGGTGCTATTGCTCCATATACTTCACGGTGTCCACAGAACTGAGAATCAATGTCCAGGATAACACAATAATGATTTTGATTCTTGTTAAGGAAACTTTCATAAACATAAACAACATGTTCTCATTTAACACTTCAGTCAGCGCTGTCATTAAGTACAAATTCGTAGGAACGGTTTGTACAGTAAAGGTATGACTACGTTTGATGTGACCTCAGTGATTCAAAGGATGTCAGCGCGTGCGCAGTGGGAGTGGAGGTCAGTAGGTGCGATCGACGTGGTATACAACTAGATTCACGCATGGTATCTCCGGATCTTTCAAGCTGAAAAAAGAGCGTGTTTGTGAGTGGAGATACAAATACCACGGTCTATTAATTCTGATATTGATATATGAACTAGGAAATGTTTTCATGGATAAGCTCGTTGTTTCCGTAA